TTAGACCTGTTTTAGACCTGGTTTAGTCCTGGTTTAGACCTGGTTTATGTCTAGTTTCATATCTAGTTTAGACCTGGTTTTAGTCCTGGTTTATACCTGGTTTTAGACCTGTTTTAGACCTGGTTTAGGTCTAGTTTAGACCTAGTTTAGACCTGGTTTAGTTCTCCAGCAATGAGTGGAATTACCGAAAAAAAAAAAAGAAAAGAAAAAACCTCTGTGTAATCCATTTATTTCAACAAAGTAACTGTAATCCAATTACCACTCACTGAAACAGTAACTGTAACTGAATACAGTTACTCATAATTTGTACTCTGATTACGTAATGCCGGTACATGTAATCTGTAACTCCTCAACACTACATATTACGCAAAATTGACTCTTGTGAGGTTTGAGGTCTTGTGAGTTTGTGATGAGGAAACAACATTACAACACAGATCAGACAAAAGTGTAATACAGGCTAAATTCTCAAAACTGATTTATTTATTAATTCATTCGTTGAAATCGTTTCTATCTTGTGCATTATGCTGCTGTTTGGTCTTTCATGTTTATAGCTCATAATAAATGCATATGGAGAACAAGCAGGCATAATTACACTTTACACACAAAGTACCAGTGTCACTCTATGATTCATGGATTACCACTTCAGTCTAGAGGGGTTTGAATTAAATCACTGTAATTAACAAATGTGTGCGTGTCTTGACACAGTTTCAATTTAAATACACAAAATGACAGTTTAGTAAGCCTGGTTTATTGATACGATCCAGTGACATCAGTAAAATGGTGGAGAGGGGGGTTCTAAATGGATGTATATGGAAAAATGTTCAGTAGTTGCCATGGTGACACAATGCACGCATAGCAAACACGACAAATTTGGCTCTATTTACGTGTTTGATTTTCAACAAAGGGTGACTAACGAAACTTGTGACATGATATTTGATTTTTAACGTTATCGAAATCGATACTTTGCAGCTGATGTCAAGGTAAATGGTCCCATTAGCGCTTTTCCACCTTCAAGGCACTCGAAGCTCCATCAACATTCCCTGGTGGTGTGAAGCTGACTGAAAGCACTACTCTGTGTGAAGCTCTGTTACTCAAGTTAGACTTAATCTGAGCTTTAGTTTAACTAGCGGTGTAACGATATCCAAGTCTCACGATATGATATCATCACGGTATAAACCTCATGGCACAATTTTTCTTGCGATATCGTAGGAAAGCTCACGATATGGTGGGGAGGCTCATGATTAGGGATGTAACAAAATCCAAATCTCTCATTAGAATATTTTCACGATATACATCTCATTGTACGATATATTATTGCGATATTTTGTGGAGCCTAACAAAACTGTGAATGTGCTACTTTTCCCTCTTAAAATGCCTTGACAAGACTTAATCCAAAGAACTAAGGCTTAAAAATACACTGAAATGGAGCAAAGGATCATGGTCTATGTAGTTCCCTCTGTCTTTTTAAGATATTGCTGCACCATAACTCTGGACAGATACATGAAATATGAGACTTAGTTTGTGCTGTAGTACTTTGTTGTTCTGTTACTGATTAGTTTGTTTCCTCCTGCTGTATTTACGAAGATGAACTGGTGTCAAGATGACGCTCTGACAAAGGAATAAAGGGTAGGCATAATAAGCTTAAGCTTCAGCCTGCACCTTTTCGGTCTGTATATGTTAAATATGTTTATGAATTAATGTCAAAATATACCTGTGACCGAAATAAATAAATAAATAATAATAATAACTCTTAGTTTAGGCAAAAAGACTTGTAATTCGATATATTGTGATGGTCCACGATATTATTGTGAGAACTTTAACGATAGGATATCACAATATTTCAATTATTGTTACATCCCTAATTTTAACACACTTTAACTTAACTGAAACTAACCAACAGTTTTTCAGTTAGTGACTCTCATCTTTTTGTTGAAACTTGAACACCTAAACATGACCATGAACGCTCAAACTGATCACAGGCTCCTCTAAAAGTGTTGTTCAAATCCATTTTGTACTTTTTCTTGAAATTACAGACTATATTCAAAACATTTTTGTCAGTTTTTGCTAATGTGTGCCTTGGGTCACCATTAGAGGTGTGCAAAGATACTGAAATATCAATATATCGTTTAATTTGATAATACAGTATCAATATCGTGGGCTGCTGTATTGTTATGTATTGCCAAGAGTATTTTTTTACTAAATTATTTTGTGAAAGTTGAGTTGCCTGTTCAGAGAAAGGAAACTTGTTAATGCAATACATTTAACCTTTACACTGTTGTGATGAGTTTAATAAAGACTTTTAATATCACCGTCATGGTTTAGCTTAGGTTTTATGTATCGAGGTATGTATCGCATCGGCAGCTTCTTAAACCCCGTCCACACTAGTACTTATTCAAATCGTTTTTATTGTGGATGCAGTGTTCATCCACACTAATCCGATGGAAAATGGCTCCAGAGACAGAACGATCTGGTGCCGTCAGCTCCCACGAATTCATTTGAGCACGGATCTGATACGCTGATGTAGGTCTATGTGTCGCGAAGTAATTCACTGCCAGAAGGCTAAGAGGCTAGAATATATGTCCATTCATATATACAGTCTATGCGTATGACGTGCAGACGTCTAATCTCTGAAAAGTTTAACATGAACCATCTCCAACATGATAGAAGCACAGAACAGACTCACCATCAGCAGAACATCTATCTGTCACAGAAAGAACACTGATAATCCACCGAGTCGTGTCCTTTATTCTGAGAGAAGCTGTTTTTTTGAGCACTCCGTTTATGCAAATTAGCCACGCGGTTTTAAGTTTCGTTTCTGTAAGACGTAAACAAATATGAGCAAAGCTGTGTGGATAAGGAAACACAGAAATGACGTGTGTGTGGACGCAGATCGTTTCTGATACGGTGATACGCTCATTCGTTTCAGTGTAAACGGGGTCTTAATGATACCCAGCCCTAGTCACCATGGTAATTGAACATTCCAGCAATATAGATACATGTAGAAAACCCCCAGTGTGATACTGAAATCAAAGTTTGACATTTACTATAGTCACAGCACTAGAATGGTTTCAGTTTTACAAAGAATCTGAGCAAACCAGGACTTTACTTTAGTTGTAACCTAATTATGTGAAAGCTCGAGAGCCACACTTCCATTAGAGAGGCTGTAGACGCACTGAAGTGGTACAGTTGTAGAACATCTCATTGTCGTCGCTCTGAATCCATTTGTGAAGCAATTACCTCCTCACATTAGCACCAATGTCTCCTGCAACTCCAGACAACTACAGGGAGGGAGCCGAGACCCACTGTGGCTTCTCACTTCAACTAGTGACAGGAAATATCTTACTGCTGTTGATGCTACTACAACTGCTTCTAATACTACGACAACTACTTCTACTTCTACAACCACTGTGACTGCTACTACACTACTACTATTTTTATACCAACAACGACATCAGAGGCAAAGTATGACCCAATATGCTTCTCACTTCAACTAGTGTCAGGAAATATGGATTTTACTGCTGCTACTACAACAACAACTACTACTACTACTACTACTACTGCAACTTCTATGCTGTTACTACTATTTTTACTATATAAGAGGCAAAGTATGGATCTTACTGCTCTTGACGCTACGACTGCTTATACTACTACTACAACTTCTACTATTACTACTACTATGGCTGCAGCTACACCACTACTACTACTATTAATACTACTGTTACTACTACTGCTACCACTACTACTACTACTACTTTTACTACCAACAACTACATAAGAGTCAAACTGATTCACTTCACTTCAAGTAGTGTCAGAAAATACATATGTTACTGCTGTTGATACTAATACAACTGCTACTACTGCAACTTCTACTATTAATATTCAGCGCTAGATGCTACTTTCATTACATAAGAGGCAAAGTCAGTCAGTGTGGCTTCTCATTTCAAGTAGTGTCAGGGAATGCAGATTTTACTGCTGTTGATACTGCAACAGCACAACAGCGGCTAATACTGCTACTCAGAGGAAGACAAAAGGGTCTATTGCCCCGGGCGTCCAAATTTCTGGCAACAGGCCTGCTAATACTACTACTACTACAACATCTAGTATTACTGTGATGGCTGCTGTACTACTACTACTGCCTTTGCTACCAAAAAGTACCAAGAGCCAAACTGATATCTTACGTAGCTTCATGTGAGCTGTCAGTTTAAAAATAGAGATGTTTGTGTGTCGGTGCCAGAGGTGGGACCAAGTCGTTGTTTTGCAAGTCTCAAGTCTAAAGTCTTTCACTTCAAGTCCAAGTCAAGTCCCAGGTCAGAGACAGGGAAGTCCAAGCTGAGACTTAAATCAATGGCTCATAAATCCAAGTCAAGTCCAAGTCGTCTGCTTTGAGCTTCAAGTCATTTCAAGTCTTTAAACCAAGCTTAGATTTTTGCATTTTATGACTTTTAAACTAAATTGTACTTAGAGCTATAAGAGTTGTAGAAATGCTAATTTTTCCTTTTTAAAAATGTCTTGACAAGTTCTTAGTGTGAATCATCATGGTCAGAACAGAAATAATTAAGAGTTAAAATTAAGTAAGAATTAAAAGTGCTTAATATCAGTTATTTTGTCATGTAGTCTGCACTGAAATGGAAGAATCATGTTCTCTGTACTTTCCTCTGTTTTACTGTATTGTACTGTACATTACTGCAGTACATTTGATGATGCCATATCATAGTACTTCAGTTACCGTTGCCATAGTAACAAATAGAGAAGTGGGAGGGACATGTTCCAGTTTGTTCCTGTAAAATTAATCACCGCATTTATCAACTGTAAAGAGAAAAGTATTTTCATAAAACATCGTTATTTTTAGGAGAAGCATTGAGTCTTCTCAAGTCACACGGCTCAAATCTGAGTCAAGTCCCAAGTCACTGACCTTCAAGTCCAAGTCAAGTCCCAAGTCCATTTTATCAAGCCAAGTCTCAAGTCCTAAAAATACTGACTCAAGTCCGAGTCCAAGTCACGACTGCTAAAGCTAAAGATAATGTTGAGGCATAATAAATATTAAAACAACACCACAAGCTAAAGTATTCTACATAGAGAAATAATTGGGCAGTCTGTATTTTAATTAATTAGAATTTTAATAGGTTGTTTATTTTAAGTTTTACGATTTTAATAAAAGTGACTGTTAGCTTTCAAACACGGTGAGCTAACTAGCGTGCTATAGCACACAGAGCCTATCACCACTGCTGCTTCGATGCATTGCCGTCTTACTGTTACCAGCATTCAACTCCACAGACATACCCAACAGAAGAGTAATAAAAAACAAATAAAATAACATCAGTGCAAGCACTTCTGAGAAAACCAAATAGAAAAGCTTCCACTGCTGAATACTGCCGAGGCCACAGGGCACTGCTTTGTTATGGATCGATAAAGGACAAAGTCATACATTTTCCCAAACATCTTATTGCAAAGCTTCCTTCATTTTAACTTGTGTCTGTATCGACTCGCTATAAATAACATTGTGAATTGCCGCACGCATTAACTTAAATTGTTTGTTTTTCTCATATCTTTGTCTCAGAAAGCCACGCCGCCCGCTTGTTACCGATATTCAATTTATTTCTATTGCCGAAGAAAGAAATTTGATCTATTTGAGCCAGGCGATACCCTTGGAATACATTTGAATACATGAATTATAAAATCTATTCAAAATAAATGGCAAATGTCTTGAGCCAGTCATGCTGTTGCAACACTATCAGGCGGTTAGACTGAAGATCTCAACCATGAATTTCAATGAACGCAGACACATGATTGGATAAGACCGTAAGAGGGGACACCCAAGGGCCCACGGACGCGTCTTGCAGAATTTGATTGACTGACCACTGGGGCATATCGTCAGGTGTATTCACTGGTGTTATTTTATTATGCAGTGAATGGGAGAGGTGTTCATTGAAAGAGGAATGAGGATTGGCAAATGAAATGGCTCATGTGTGAAATCAGATTGGATAAAATGGAGAGTTAAAGATGAAAAATACAGAACATGAGGTTTGGAAATAGTGTGTGGTAAGGTTGGAGCTAAAAAAAACAGATTTAAAGAGCAGGATTAAACAGAAACAAAGCAAAGCCAGGACTGAGAAAATACTGAAACTTGTCTTCATTAGCAAATTTAAGCAAGATTAAACCGGGACTAAACCTGATTTAACATGGGTCTTTACCAGGCAGAAAAACAGGTCTAAACGAGGACTAAACCAAGGCTGAACCAGGACTAAACCAGGTCTAAACCAGGTCTAAACCAGGTCTAAACCAGGACTAAACCGGGTCTGAGCCAAGTGTAAACTAGAACTAAAACGCAAATAAACCAGATCTAAACCAGGACCAGAAGAATAGGACTAGACAAAACTTTGATGAAACCAGGTTTATACCCAAACTTAGTCTGGCTAAGACAGGAAAAAATGGGTCTTAACTAGAACTAAACCAGAACTTTTTGTGAGAGGAGATGATGAAATAGTGGGACAGAGAGTAGGTCATATCTTTGATCTGGGTCTAAACCAGGTCTAAACCAGGTCTAAACCAGGTCTAAGCCAGGATTTAACTAGGTCTAAATCAGGAGTAAACTAGGACAAAACAAAGTCTAAACCGAGTCTAAACCAGGACTAAACCAGGTCCAAACCAGGTCTAAATCAGGACTAAACTAGGACTAAACCGGGTCTAAACAAAGACTACACCAGGACTAAACCGGGACTAAACTATCTCTAAACCAGGTCTAAACCAGGACTAAATTAGGACAAACACCAGGTCTAAATCAGAATTAAACTCAGACAAAACGAGTTCTAAACCAGGACTAAACCAAATCTAAATCAAGTCTACATCAGGACTAAACCTGGACTAAACCAGATCTAAACCAGGACTAAACCACGTCTAAACCAGGGCTAAATGAGGACTAAACCAGGTCTAACAAGTCTAAACCAAGGCTAAACCAGGACTAAACTAGGTCCAAAACAGGTCTAAATCAGGACTAAACTAAGATAAATCCAGGTCTAAACGAGGACTAAACAAGGACAAAACTAGGTCTAAACCAAGACTACACTAGGAGAAAACCAGGTCTAAACCAGGGCTAAACCAAGTCTAAACCAGGACTAAATGAGGACTAAACCAGGTCTAACAAGTCTAAACCAGGACTAAACCAGTTCCAAACCAGGTCTAAATTAGGATTAAACTAAGACAAAACCAGGTCTAAACCAGGACTAAACCAGGTCCAAACCAGGTCTAAATCAGGTTTAAACTAAGACAAAACCAGGTCTAAACCAGTACTAAACCAGGTCTAAACCAAGTCTACACCAGGATTAAACCAGGTCTAAACCAGGACTCGTGTGGTACCTGTGAGGTAGGTGTTGTGGGAGGAGTTGATGAAGTAGTGGGACAGGGGGTAGGTCATGTCTTCGCTCTGGTCCAGTTTTTCGGGAGGGATGATGCTGTTCTCTTCTGCGCTCAGGTACCGTGAGAAGCCCTCCACCGAAATGTGACCTGGAAAACAACACAAAATATGAGGGAAAATGATTACTATACTGTTTGAAATGCAGGACCAAAAATAAGGTTTTAGGTCAGGGGTGTGCAAACTTTTTTCATCAAGGGCCACATATTGAAACCTGTGGAGAGCAAAGGGCCGCAAATAAACAAGTTAATAATTCAAAGACTCACCACATCTTCTATATTTTCTGATCTATGTTCTAATGTTATTTCCTCATCACAAACAGACCTGGAGTTGTGTTTTGTTTCATTCAGACATGTTTAACACACAAACCCTGTATATTTAGGCTGAGTTCTGGTCTCAAATTGCAAACACTCTAATCCACCTTGTGATGTCATGTGGTAATACAGGAAGTGCTCCACTGTTTTTAAACTCCACACACCTTCAGTAGAATCATTTGGATGATTTCAGCTCTGGAATTTCCAATTTCTACTGAATTAACAGCAAAAAGTAATGTAGCTGTGAACTTGAAAACTACTGTTTCATGACATCACAAGGTGGAACAGAGCATTTTGAGCTCTGGAGATGAAGACAGACTAATAATAAAAGATTATTAAAACATGTATGAATGAAACAAAACACCACTCCAGGTCTGTTTTTGATGAGGTAACATTATAACATGGCTTAAACTTGTGTAAAACAAGTGTTAATTTTGAGTAATATAGAGCTTTTTAGTCATGTATTTATATTAGTCTAAACACGTCCAAGTCGAGACTCGAGTCACTGGCCCTTAAGTCCAAGTCAAGTCAAAGTTGTCTGCTTTGAGCTTCAAGTCATTTCAAGTCTTTAAACCAAGCTTAGATTTTTGCAATTGATATGACTTTTAAACTAAGGTTGATTGATTAATTGACAGCATTTATATAATGCCTTTCAAGATACCCCAAGTGCTTTACAGTTCATTATTCAGTCACTCCACACTCAGTGGTGGTAAGTTACTACTGTAGCCACAGCTGCCCTGGGGCAGACTGACGGAAGCGAGGCTGCCAATCTGTGCCATCGGCCCCTCCGACCACCACCACTCATGAAAGTGGTGTGAGTGACACCACTTTCATACTAGGCAATGTGGGTGAAGTGTCTTGCCTAAGGACACAACGACAGTTTTTTGCCACTGGCGCCCCACACAGGTTCAGGTAGATTGGGAACAATTAAATGTAACCTTAACTAGTATTCTGTGTTATGGCATTCCAAACACTTCTCTGGTGATGTATCTGGGAAATATATCAGGGTCTGTTTACACGAGAATACTTGTGGGTAAAAATGACTAAATATTTTATCAGAAGTGCCTTTCGTTTAGACGGTGACAGCGTCTGAAACCACCCTCCAGAGTGGAAAAGTGTAGACCGTTGTATCGTTTCGGTCTACACTGCCCAAGACGCAAAACTCTGGTCAGATCTGCTCACGTTGCGTATGCATTTACGTCCCATACATACAGTACACAGAAACAAACATGTCGGATCATTTCCATGCGTCGGACCCAGAGGCTGTGCTACCATTAGGCAACAGTGTGCGGCCGACTAGGGCCCCCGAACCTTGAGACACTTAACCTCTCAATATGACATTACTGTAATTGAGAGTAGTTTACTTTTAAACAAGAAAACACCATCACAATAATATCTAATTGTCAAATTATTTTAACTGTCAAAGCGTTCCCCCCTTTCACGTTAGAATGGACGAGTCAGCGTGACCCAGAGTTGAACATAATCACAGCAAAATCATAATCATATGTAATGGATGTGAACAAAAATGTAATTGTACGAGCAAAAAGACAAAAATACTTTAAGTTCTGGGTAGGCGAACAAACTAAAAAGACAAGTTTCCAATCCACCATAATTCATACAGAGATGTGCGTGTCTCAAGAACAATAGAGAAAAAAGAAAATAAATACAACAAATATATACAAATGAAAACCAAAGCAACAAAACAGTGCATTATAGAAAGACTCAAGTTCACCTAGGGCCCCCAGATTGCTGACTCTGCCACTGGTCGGACCTTCAACTAACACCTAGCCACCTGGCATGCATACTCAATCCAATCACACACTTTTCAGTTACTGTATGCATGCAGATTTCCTCCTGAAAACACTCATCTAACCGAGGAATAAAGAGTGAAGACACGACAGCACTTTTATATCTTCTGTTCAGACCGTCATCATATAAACGCAGCCTAAATTGTACTTAAAGTCAAGGTACATTTATATATGAGTATTTATATAGTCGTAGAAAATCTTTTGACAAGATTTTAGTGCAAATCATTACAGTCAGAACAGAAAGAATTAAGATTTAAGAGTGCATAATAACCATAATATTTTACCACGTAGTCTGCATTCAAATGGAAGAATCTGAATGTTTTGGTGTCAAGGGTCAATTCTGAATAATATAGATTGTTTTAGTAATTTATTTATATTATTCTAAACCTAACTATCTTGCAATTAGATTAGATCACATTGTTAACACTATGGTTGCTAAGGCTCTGGAGCTCCACAGAAGAAGAAAAGAGTCTAAGCTAAAAACAACAGCAAAGTCAGAAGCAGAAACATCAACAACAATTCAAGTCATGTACCGAAACACTCACTGCATTTTATTCACACTTTCCCAGCATGCATTTCTATTGTTGGGCTTCTCGGAGCGGTGTGCAGAGCTTTGAAAACTGCGTCCTTGGACTTGGTGTTTGTCTTTGTAGCGCTTGTGAAGGTCGAGCGTGCGGAGCTTTGTCTTTTTCCTGTCGGCTTCACTAAATATGCTCATGGGGGCGAGAGAGAGCGAATAAATAAGTAATACACTGCAGAGCAAGAAGAGTTATACCAGAGTCCAGGCACTGAAACCGAGCGTCTCATTCCTGTCTCCTCCCTTCATCTTCCTTGACTTCTGTCCTCATTCCTCCATTTTCCAGCTGTCAATCAAGTGACCCAAATTAAGAGGTGTCCCAAAGCTCAGAGGAGCAAAGGAAGGAAACCACAGAGGAAACAGTAAAAGTTTGTTTGTTTGACATGTTACATCATTCTCAACTTGACACTAAAACCATAAACAGTAAAAATATATCCAAACATTTTTATCTCAGGCAAAAACACGGTGTGACTTTGGCTGATTAAAGTTTTGGAATAATAATACTAAATTAAAGCTGCAAGTGGCATCAAACTAATTTTGCAATGCAATTTTTATTTTATTTTTTTAATCGGGATGTCCTGAAGAGTTGTTTTCCCCATTAGAATCTGAAAACCACCACATGATACTTGCAGCTGATGTCATCGATGCTCCCTGGGGGTGTAATGCTAACTGTAGGCACTGTTCTGTCTGAAGCTGTGTTCTTAAATTGGACTTTAAATTGAGCTTTATTTTAACATAATCTGAATCTCAAAACTGAATTAGCTGGAACTACAACAGGTTTAAACCAGGACTCATCTTGTACCTGTGAGGCAGGTGTTGTGGGAGGAATTGATGAAGTAGTGGGATGGGGGTAGGTCATATCTTTGCTCTAGGTCTAAACCAAGTCTAAACCAAGTCTAAATCAGGACTAAACTAGGACAAAACCAGGTCTAAAAAAGGTCTAAACCAGGACTAAATCAGAACTTGTCTCGTACATGTGAAGTAGGTGTTGTGGGAGGAGTTGATGAAGTAGGGGAACAGCAGGTAGGTCTAAACCAGGTCTAAACCAGGTCTAAACCAGGTCGAAACCAAATCGAAACCAGGTCGAAACCAGGTCGAAACCAGGTATAAATCAGGTGTAAACCAGGACTCGTCTAACCTGTGAGGTAGGTCTCGTGGGAGGAGTTGATGAAGTCGTGGGACAGGGGTAGGTCTTGTCTTCACTCTGGTCCAGTTTGTCCTGAAGAGTCACTGTGCCTCAGTTTCACATTCTTCAGTGACACTATGAACACCCATGTACTCAACGTTGCAAAAGCTGTACACCCTACGGCCTGTAGAGCTCAGGCCTAATCACTGAGCAAAAACAGAGTGGGTTAGCCTGATTCATCAGCCAGTTTCACTTTGTGAAAATCATCTGACCTCCCAACATTAGGATTTGTTCACTCAACAGTAAGCGGGTACGTTTTTTATTTAACCAATCACTGCTATTTGATCATGACGTATGTAATGCTCCAAATCCTGTAGGAAGAAGCACAATAACGTCTTTTCCCTGGATAAAATTCACCAAACATTCTCTTTGTTTCGGCTTTAAATCCTCGATCTCAGGAATCGCTGCCAACACAGAATGTCTGTCTTCGTCTACATCCATCTCGACCGCTTTGTTTACTGTTGTGCTGTTGTGAAGTCATGTACGTCACAGCTCTTCTCTGATTGGCCGGTGTGAGGTCTACAACTTCTGAGGTTCTTGCAAACCGTCCAGTGTATTCTGATTCCTGACCTAGTCGCTGGAGAGAAATGAAACTGAGCGAAAAAAGTTTGGATCATGTTTGTGTCTGTGGCGTAACGACAAACCGAGATGACAAAAAGCCAGTAGCAGCTGAAGTGTGTGTAGTGTCTCTGTCCAATCAGGACTCTGTCCAACCCCCAGACGATGAGCGGAATTAAATATAAAGACGATTTAAAGTGTTTTCCACGTAAACCTCAATTTGGAATGATCATTTCCATGTAAACTCTAAGGAAAATATTTTAATTCAGAACTATTCATTCAGAATTAAATAAAAAAACCATCATGTAAACGTGTCCCTTTAATCTGATGACATAAGTGTCTCTAAACGACTTCCCTCAGAACACCGAAACGGTCTCTTGATATTCTTTTTTTGCAGATAAATTTGAAGAGATCAGATTACTCCTCAAACGTTTCTGGCCCTAATGACTCACGCTACTTAAATCCAAATTATTATTCAGAACCAAACTGATTTTAAGCCGATAATCTTGTTTTTTTGCAGTGAAATCTTAAAGGTCTGCGCAGATCCCGGTACGCAGAGGTGAATATGAATGAGAGGAGGAAGAAGAGGAGGAAGAGGAAGAAGAGGAGGAGGCAGAAGAGGAGGAGAGGGGGAGGAGGGCTGGGTGTG